GGCGAGCGTGGTCTGTGGCAGCGCCGCAACAGCCTTCAGGGAGGCTGCTCCGCAGGGCGGGACGCCCTGGCGAGCGTGGTCTGTGGCAGTGCCGCAGCAGCCCTGAGGGAGGCTACTCTGCAGGGCGGGACGCCCTGGCGCGCGTGGTCTGTGGCAGTGCCGCAACAGCCCTTGAGGGAGGCTGCTCCGCAGGGCGGGACGCCCTGGCGAGCGTGGTCTGTGGCAGCGCCGCAACAGCCTTCAGGGAGGCTGCCCTGCAGGGCGGAACGCCTGGCGCGAGCGACCCCTGGCCGCGCTGCAACGCCCTGGGAGGGGCGTGCTTCGTCAGTGCTGTGCCATTCCATTTGTGCTGCGCGTCACCATTGCCCCAGGTGCGGCAACGTCTGCGGGTAGGCGTACTCGCTAGGTGCTGTGTCGGCCCAGTTGTGCTGCGCATTACCGCTGCCCCAGGGGTGGCATAATCTGCGGGCCCAGGTGTCAACGTTCGGTGTTGTGCCAGCCCAGGTGTGCTGCACATCACAGGTGTGGCAAAGCTGCACATCACAGGTGTGGCGTGTTCGTTCGGTGTTGTGCCAACCCAGGCGTGCTGCGCATCACCGCTGCCCCAGGTGCAGCAAAGTCTGCGGGCCCAAGTGTGCACGTTCGGTGTTGTGCCAATCCAGGTGTGCTGCGCACCACTGCCCTGAGTATTGCAAAGTCTGCGGGCTCAGGTGCGTCCGTTCGGTGTGCTGCGCATCGCTGCCCTGGGAGTGGCAACGTCTGCAGGCCCAAGTGTGCCTGCAAAGCGTTAGCCCTACCTGGTTTCATCACCACTGCCTTGGGCGTGGCAAAGTCTGCAGGCCCAGGTGTGCTCGTTCGGTGTTGCGCCTGCCCACTTCGGTGTGACACCCAGTTTTCCCTTGTAAGAAAAACAGGGTGCAAGCCCCATGAGAAACACCTGAATTGAAATATGCAATGGTTATCAGGCAGGGCGGGTCAACAACAATTCTTCAGAATTGATAGTGCACTAACAATAACAGCACCACGAACAACAGCAACAACAGCATCAACAACAACAACAACAACAACAACACCAACAACAACAAACACAACAGCTTCAGCAACAACAACGGACCCACTAGCCCACGTGAGGCCACGCTGGAAGGCCATGCCACTGGTATGTTACGGCGTTGACGTGCCTGCTCCTGCGCCCCAACCACCCCTTCCACCGTAGAATAAAAGCAGCATGGGCCTGCAAGTCCAAGGCTCCGTGGATGCAATCGTTCGTGGGCCCTCCGCATTTAGCCCATCACATACATCAGGTTCCCCGCCAACAAAAACCTGCAGCCACATGGAATCAGGACCTGACCCCTCTGGGACAGTCGAGGTGAAAGAACCCGCTGCCGGCCTTCGCCCTCGCCCGCCGCGTCGTCGCGGCGGTCGCCGCCCACCCTCCCTCCCTCCCTCCCTCCCTCTCTCCTCCCGATCCTCGTCCTCCTCCTCCTCCTCCTCCTCCTCCTCCTCCTCCTCCTCCCCCTCCTCCTGCTCCTCCTCCTCCTCCCCCTCCTCCTCCTCCTCCCCTCCTCCTCCCTCCTCCTCCTCCTCCTCCTCCTCTCTTCCTTCTCCTCCTCCTCCTCCTCTTCTTCCTCCTCCTCCTCGTCCTCCTCTCGCTCCTCCTCCTCCTCCTCCTCCTCCTCTTCTTTCTCCTCCGCCCTCCCGCTGTTCTCCCTTGCCCTCTCGCCGCCCACCTCGCTGCTTCGCGCTGCTCTCCCCCCATTGCCTTCTGGGGGGCGGCCCGTGGCCTTTTGCCGCTGGCCCCCCGCCGACGCCGCGGCCTCTCTCCTCGCACACGCTGCGAGGACGGAGGCACGCGGCGGATGCCGCGGTGGAGGGCACGAGGGGAAAAGGGGCCCCAGGACACGCAAATAAAGACACACAAATCAAAACATTCCCCATCATTTCCTATATTTTGGCCTTTTGTCCTGGCCCCCGCCGACGCCGTGCCTCTCTTCCCGCACGCTCCGAGGACGGAGGCACGTGGCGGATGTCGCAGTGGAGGGCACGAGGGTAAAGGGGGGCTCCAGGACACACAAAGAAAGACACAAATCAAAACACGCCCTATAATTTCCTATATTTTGGGGGTTTTCCGTCTTCCCCCCCCACTTCCCATGTTTTCCCATATCTTCTGGGGAATCGACGATGAATTGTGTCTGTGTTTTTTTCTCCCTCCGGAGAGGGCTCGGAAGCAGAAGGTTTTGCACTGGTCACCGCTGCGTGAGGGAGCTCCCGTGCAGCGGGTGGCACGTGCCCGTCGGGCTGGCCGTCGACGAGGGGTGCGCGGGCGACGGCTGCAGGCCCGCCCAGCAGGCGTTCGCGGCTCTGGGGCATCCCTGCCAGCGGGCCGCGAGCCTTAAGTCGGGCCTGTCCACCTACAGGTGGATTTTCGACGAAAAATGCAAAATACTTCCAAAATAGTCAAACAATCGTCAAAAATAGTCAGGGGACATTTTGTTTGAATATTTTGTTTGCCTTTTTGGTGTGTTGTTTGAGTATTTTCTATTTTTCCTCGAAAATCCCCCTGTAGGGGAACACGCCCGACTGAACGCGAGCCGGTGGGCGCGGGGGAGCAGACGCCGGAGCGAAGCGCTCGGCTACGAGACGACGGCGGACGGAATGAACTCGTTCATCCAGGGCTCCGGGAAGTGCGGCACGAGTGCGCGGCACGAGCGTGCGGCGCGCGGCCGCAAGTGCGGCCGCCTTCTCTGCAGGATTGCCACCGGCTGCCGCAGAGCGGTTCTGTTTTTGACAGTGGCCGCAAGTATCGGGGGAACGCAAGACCCGGGTTTGCCAGGACTCGGGTTCGCCATGGTTTTTTGACGACCGCGCCTCGGATTTTGACGAGGAGGAGTTTCGTGGGATGTCTGCAGCGGGAGGCCTCGTCAAAATGCAGGCTCGGCCTCGTCATTTTTTTGACGACCTCGTCGGGGATTTCCGAGTCCCCCGTACCCGGGTCTTACGTCTCCCCGAAAGTAGCAACTGGTCACCACCCTCCTCAACCAGTCCGACCCTCTCCCAGGAGTTTCGGACGCTGCTGGGCGAGCCTGCAGACGGTAATCTGACTGCGCGAGTCGAGCGGGATGCCACAGGCAGCGAGCTCTTAAACCACATGGAGGACGGAGTCACAGCCTGAGTATTCAGTGCTTGGCTGTGCGCTCAGACTAGGAAGACCAAACGGATGCTCCATAAGCACTGCGCCGAGGATTTCGCGAAGTTCGGCCATACGTTCGACCGCGCAAACTGTTTGTCGACGCCTTCCCAGCCAGGAGGCAGACGATCACTGCGCCTGCCCTGGCGTGAGCGTCTGAGGCACGTTCTGAGCTCATAAGGGTTAATGGCGCGCATTTGGCGCACCGATGGCTCGTTGAACCGTGCTTCGGCTGGTGCTTGACCGCTTCGTGGCTCGGAGCTGCCTTGCATGCGCATGGCGGAGAAACGGCAAGAGGCTGCCGAGAGACTCCCGAGACAGCCAAAGTTCGCAGAGAGCCCCCAGAAATGCCCAGGACTGTCCAGACGCTCCCCCAGAGACGGTCCAAGACTGCTCCAAACACAGTTCTCGATGCCCTGAAGACGGCCGAATGCGTTCCCAACAGTGCCTGAGAAGTCTTCAAGAGGCCCCCGAGGAGGCTCTCGAGGCTGAAAGTCCTTAAGAATCCGATTGACATGTTTACTCGTGTTGAATGCCTTGCTTGTAGATGAACTTCCCAAGTCTCAAGATTGTTCCCAGGACGCTCCAAGAGGCTCCGACAAAACAGAATGGGCCCCCAAGAGGCCCGCATATATTCACAATATGCCCCCCAAGAGTTGCCCAAACCAAAAAGGCGTTCCGAAACGGCTTAAGATCACCCCCCGAAATGTCCAGGACAGTCCAGCAGGCACCCGAGATGGCCAAACATCGTTCCAAATTGGATCAAGATGCTTTCAAAATTGCCGAACGTGTTCGCAAGAGCTCAAGATCCCTTTAAGAGGCCCCCGAGGAGGCGCCCAAGGAGTTCTTACGTCAGTTGATGAAATCCTAAGGCAATCAATACTTTATCATGTCGGGCTTCTTTACATCAGATGAGCTTCTGAGGCCTCAAGATCCCCCCCGAGGGGCCCTCAAGAGGCTCCGACAGGACCAGCTACTCAGGCCCCCAGGAGGCCCCGACAGGACCGAAGGGGCCTCCCCGCAGGCACTGCTTCCAGGACAGAGAAAACGTGCGCGACCACGCGGCCTCACAGGCCTCGTCCCATCCTCATCTTTTCCGGCCCGGCCCGGCTTCCCCTTCTCTCCCCGCTGACCGCCTCCCCTCCCCCGGGAGGCAGAGAAAAAGTGCGCGATCACGCGGCCTCACAGGCCTCGTCTCATCCTCATCTTTTCCGGCCCGGCTTCCCCTTCTCTCCCCGCTGACCGCCTCCCTTCCGCACGGCCCGGCTTCCCCTCCTCTCCCCGCTGACGGCCTCCCCCTGCCCCCGGGAGGCGAGACGGCGCAGGAGACGGGCCTCGCGGGGCCCACCCCGACCAGTCGATCCGCGGATCGATGTCGACGTCGGGTCGGCTCGACCCACATCGAAGGATTGCAAAAAAAAGCCCAGGATTGCAAAAAAAACCCAAGGATTGCAAAAAAGAAACCCTTCGTTTTTGTTTGCAATCCTTCGTTTTTTTGCAAGCCTTCGCCCGATCCCCCACTCGTCGCCGACGGGGGCCCGATAGCCCGCCCCGCCCAGGCACGTGCGGATGCGCTATCGGTGGCCTATGGCCGATCTCTCGGCGATGCATCGCCGATGCCGGGTCGGGGGTGCCCCCCCCCCCCGGAGCCAGTCCCCCCCGCGCGGATTCGCTATCGGTGGCCTATCGCCGATCTCTCGGCGATGCATCGCCGATGCCGGGTCGGGGTGCCCCCCCCCTGAGCCAGTCCCCCCCGCCCTTGACGTCCCACCCCACCGCTGCCACCCCTCCCCCCTGGCAGGTGAAGCGGCCCAGGATGCTGGCCGCGGCGCTGCCCGAGTGGATCAAGGCCGCCGCCCGCGGTGCAGCCCCCGCTGCAACGAGGGGGAGGGGGGAGGAGGGCGAACGGGAGCGAAAGGTCCTGACGCCTTCTTGTCGCGAAGAATTCACGACGGACCTTTCTAGGAAAAAAGGAGGAGGGCGAGCGGGAGCGAAAGGTCCTGACGTCTTCTTGTCGCGAAACAAATTCGCGACGGACCTTTTCTTCTGGCACTTGCCATTGTCATGTCCCTCGGGCCCATGCCAGGCCTCGGGGCCGTCAATAATTATTCTACGTCGAGCGATCCCCACCGAAACTCTTGGCGTCTGTTCCCGAGCCTGGTGGTGTTCGTTGCTGTGGCCAGCCTGAGCTCGGCGCGCACGTCGAGTTTGCTAAGACGCCGTCGTTCGGTCGCCGGTGCAGTCTACCGTATCACGTTCTGCCCGTGACTCTGATGTTCTGCTTTTTGCGCCGGCTCGACAGTTGCGTTTTCCTGGTGCCGTTCAGTGGTTGCTGTTGCATTCCAAAGAGTTTACAGCGATATTACACTCACTTACGTCTTCCTCTATGGTCGAATAGGGTATGTTATGTTCTGGCTGGGCCGGCGCTGCGTCGGGTGCAGTATATTCCGGTCGGGATATTAATCGAGGGGTGGGCGACTAACCTTCTGACGGAGCTTGCCCATCCCCCCCTCTCCGCCACCTCCTCCTCTTCCTCCCCCTCCTCATCCTCCTCTTCCTTCTCCCTCTCCTCCTCCTCCTCCTCCTCCTCCTCCTCCTCCTCCTCCACCCTCCCGCCACCCGTTCCGACAGCACGTGCCCAAACCCCCCCAGCGATAAGTGGCCGTTGTTGTAATCCAAAGTCTGCGAAGATAGTAGATTCACTTATGTGTTTCTGTGGTGTGACAGATTGTGTTATGTTCTGGCCGGGCCGGCGTTACGTCGTGACGCCTGTCACGTATGATACGTCCAATCGGTCGGTGTTGCGCCTCGTTGTTCCTGTGGCCAGCCTGACCTCGGCGCGCACGTCGCGTTTGATAGGACGCTGTTAATCGGTCGTTGATGTCTTCTGACTTCTTTCCTGTTCGTCTCAGCGATGCTTGATCCTGAACAATTCGAGAATATTGCACGTAGCACCGCGCAGTTGCGGATAAAAGTGAGGGGGCGGCGGGGACGTCGGCAGTTTGCGAGGCTCTGAAGAAGCCCGCCGCAGGCGCATAATTTGTTCAAGCTATACAACGAGCCCGCTGCAGGCGCCGATATTTCTGTTAAACCAATGTGGGTGATTCGCGGGCTGGGTCGCAGGTGGGTCGCGGGTGGGTCGACGGTGGGTCGCGGGCCCCGTCGTGGGTGGGTCGCGAGTAGGTCGCGAGCGGGTCGCGGGATGGGTCGCGGGTGGGTCGCGGGTAGGTCGCGGGGTGGGTCGCGGGTGGGTCGCGGGGTGGTTCGCGGGTGGGTCGCGGGCTGGGTCGCGGGGGGGACGAAGCAACAAAACAATCAGAATCTTCGCCGTGGATCTCCACTTCAGCCACGCACCCAAGGACAATCAATGACCGTTCGGCCCCCTCACTCTGACTGAGTGGGTCGCGGGGTGGGTCGCGGGGTAGGTCGCGGGCGGGTCGGTGGGTCGGTGGGTGGGTCGCGGGGTGGGTCGCGGGTGGGTCGCGGGTGAGTCTTGGGGTGGGTCGCGGGGTGGATCGCGGGTGGGACGACGACAACAAACAAACAAACAAACAACAACGCGACAACACAACAAGCAGAATTCTCACCACGGATTCCCACTTCAGCCACGCACCCAGGGACAATGAATGCCCGTTCGGCCCCCTCACTCTGATTTTGGTGAGACCTCCAACCATCAAGCCTTGTTGGGGGCAAATCGCAAGCGAGGTGTGCAAGGTCATGCATGAGGAAAGTTAGCTTGCGATGGCGAAGATGGTAGACTACGCGCCGGGGTGTAGCAGGTTACGCGGGCGCGGCGAAAGTGGCGAGCGCGCGGGGGAGAGGTTTGGCGACCATGGGGAAACAGCGCTGTGCATTGGGAACGTTGGATGGACGTCGGGAAGGTTAATCGGCGTGGGGGACGTGCGAGGAGCGAGGAAGGCGAAGAAGTTCAGAAGCGCGTGAAGAAGCTGGGAAGGAGGCGGGGGAATGCAAAAGGGCGCGGGACTTCCCAGGCCATAGCGCCCATGAAGCCCTCCACCTTTAGCCGGATGGGCCCATGACGCCCCCCAGCTTTCGCCGGAAGGGTCCCCGAGTTCCCCGACCCTATAGCCAGACGGGCCGTGGAGCTCCCCAGCATTAGCCCGAAGGTCTTTCCAGCATGCCCCCGCAGCTTCCCGGCCTTGGCCAGAAGGGGCCAGTCTAAGCTGGAAGGGCCATGGAGTTTCTCAGCCTCAGCCGGAGGGGCCCTGGAGCTTCTCAGCCTTAGCCAGAAGATCTCCGGAGCCTCCCAGCCTCAGCCAGAATGGCTTCGGGGCTCCCTTTCGTTGGCCTCTCGACCTTACCAGCATTCGCCGGACGGGCCCCGGAGCTTCCCAGCAGTCGCCGGAGGGGGCCAGAGCCCCTCCTCAGACGCTCGTCAATCAGGAGGGAAAGAAACACACAGACACAATTAATCGTCGATTCCCAGAAAATATGGGAAAATATGGGAAGTAGGCGGGAAGACAGAAACTTAGAAAATATGAGAAAATATGGGGGATTATTTTATTTGTGTGTATTTATTTGTGTGTCCTTGGGCCCCTTCAGTCAAGCATCCCCCATGGCAAGCCCATGTTGATCTCGCCCCAGTAAACGATCCAGACCTCGCTCGAACTTCCCCGGGTCCATCCGAGCTCCCCCGGTGACCGCCCCACTTCCGCAGGCCCCCGCGCCACGGCGCGAGCCCCCGCATGGCCAGCCAGCCTCCTCCGCGCCAGAACGCGCCAGACATTTCCAGCGAGGGCGTTTGTCCGCAGTGGCCAGTGGATTCACCTTAAGTTTTATTACGTTGTGCTTTTCGATGTTCTCTTCTATAATGTTCGGTTCCGATTTGTCTTGCTACGGCGTGGTACTTTCGTTCAACTCTCGGTTTTGCATTCTGCTGCTCAACAGTACTACATGATGCTACGTACTCTTAGTTTGGTGTGGTCTGATCTGTTGTCTCAGGTGTCGGGCAGGTTCTCTCCCATCCGGTTGTAAACCGAGGTTTCTACGTGTTTCCTTGGTATAGCTCTCTGGACCGTTAAAGGGGTGTGAGATTAGAAGCCGGCAGGCAGGGCTACGCCAGTTTCCTCTCCACGGTTCCAGGGCAGGCAGCGTCGCAGCAATTTGCTTGAACCCGCAGCTTTGTCCCGGAAGCTTGACCTTGGTCATTACCAATACGCGTGCCGGAAGCCTTCGCGAAGCGCCTTGGCAGCCCTTCGGCAGTTGTTCCGAAGCTCGTATTTTTCCAGATAGCTCTCTGAGCGTTAAGAGGGCTGCATATCATAGAGGACGGTAGCGCAGGGTAGCCCGGGGGCTCTTTCCGCAGCGAGTTGCTTGAAGTCGCAGCGTGTCCCGATGGCGTTTTTCTACTGTTTCTCAGTTCCCGGGAAACTTTTCCGCGGCTCCTTCGCAGGATTTCGGGAGCTCCTGCGAAGCTCCTTTTTCGGGCTTGCTAGCTCCCCAGAGAGCTTGTCAAGCGATCTTGCAAGCCTCTCCCACAGGCTTTTACGCGCTTTCGACTGCACCGCTATCCGGGCTTCGCACATTACAAGTTCTGTTAGTGTCGTCATAGTAAGATTATGATGAACTGTCTCATGACTACGGCATTGCTCCCAAAAAAACTCTTGCACTTCGGGGTTCTTGCTTCTGTTCTATGGAACTGGGCCGTGTCTTCGGTTTGGCGTCTGTGTCGCCGCCGTCGCCGCCTCGTCGCCGCCCGTCGTCTGGGCCGTGTCTTCGGTCTGGCGGCTATAATATCGGGGGTGGACAGAACCCCCAACAGTGACACGTCGATTAGTGAATTGTCCGTTTTCGGTTTTCGAGAGGGCGCCGTGGCCGTTATTTTCCAGGCTTGCGCCCGCCAGGTTTGGGCCCGAAGTCGATTTCACTAAACCACGTTTTACTAAAGGGAGGTCTGTCCATCTCCGATATAAGAGCGCTGTCGCCGCCCCGTCCCGGCCTCGTCGCACCTCGTCGCCACCGTTGGACTGCACCACATCGATGGCACGAGTGTCTGTTCGAGCCCGCGGCGCGCTTTTCTCTTCTCGCCCACAACACCGCTTCACATCTTTCAGGACGCAGGTGGACCCCACAAAGATTGCACGACGTATATTGCATAATCACATTTGCTGCACCATACAGATCGCACAACATAGACTGCACTGCATATATATTGTACCACGTCGATCGCACCCAACATTGCAACGCCCAAGTCGCACATGTATGGCACAACCCAGAGTGCTAGAAGCAAGCTGTTTAGGGTTCGCGCTGGCCAGCCAATTTGTTGTTTTGCCTTTGCATGTGAAGTTTGCTCGGCGACATCTTGTTCACAAGTCTGTGGAGTTGTGGCATACTACATGTAGGGCGAGATTGTTTGAGGTGTTTGTCACCATTTGATAGTATATGAGTTCGTCTTTTGTATATACATACATGTATGTACTCCTCACCCGTTGATCTAACTACCATACTGTATGGTGTTTGTATATGTGTTTCTGTTCTGTACTGTCAGGGCACATGCATTTCCTCCTTTCTCAATCGTTGTACGATATGAACTGATATGTCCAGATATTCTGTTCAAAAGATGGTGTTCCAATTATGATAAGATGTAGTTGCTGCCGTCGTGATAGCAGGAGTAAAAGCGGTATGGTATGGTGTGCTCTGTCATGGTATAAGCTCTTATGCCCCGCTCTGCCACAGTACATTCAGCTACGTTATGGTCTGTGACGCTATGGCTCAGTATTGTTCGGTCTGTGTTGCTATGGCTCAGTGTGTCATGTAATGTAGTTGGATGCTGTGTTATGGTGTGTGATGTTATGCCGTGATGTGTTATGCGAACCATTGTTATACGTAGATCGTATGTTTTCTCTGATGCGGTGTGATATTCTTGTTCATGTTTGGTATGTAGTTGTTGATATATCGTGGTCGTTCCAGAGGTGGAAACAGTCGCACAACCAGATAGACATTGTATGTCCTACCCTCTTTACTATACCCTATCATGCTCCGATCTGTCACAGTCTGTGATCATGTTAGGGATGCTATGCCGTGTGATGATGTGGTAGGTGGTGTTATGGTATGCAGTGTTATGGCATGTGTTGCTATGTTATGGTGTGGTGCGATGCGCCGTGTTATGCGGTGTTCGTTTCATCTGTCTGATATGTTATCGTATAGTCTGCCATTCCATGTTTGCCCTATTGTGTTGACAGTCGAAAAGAACAACCATGTCCAGTTCTGGTATGTTCCTGTATGCTATGCTCAGCCAAGGTTTTTTTCTGTCATCGTATACTTTGGCATCGCACGATATGGTGTTTGAGGGCCCTCGGCACATCCTGCCAACGCGCCTGGGCTGTGAGTCCGAAGCCGATTGGATGTTCGTTGGGACCTCGTGGGGGACCTCTCAGGGGGGCTGCTTGGAGGCAGTTTTGAGGCCCCTTTGTGGGCCGTTTTGGAGCCCCCTGGGGCCTCTTCTGGGCTTCGTGGGGGCCTCGTTGTGGCCTCGTGGGGGCCTCTTGGGGCCTTCTGGAGACCTCTTGAGGCCTCCGGGGGCCTGCTGGGGCGGAAGGCTCGGATTTTCGGTTCGTGTTGGGCGCCTGTTGGGGCCCCTTTGGGGGCTCTCTTGGACCGTCTGGGGCGCCTCTTGGACCGTCTCGGGGCGCTTGCGGGCCGTCTTGGGGCCCTCTTGGAGGCCGCTTGGGCCGTGTTGGGGTGGTGCTGGGGGCCTCTTGGGCCGTCTTGGAGCGTCGGGAAGCCTAACACGCGAGAGCGCCAAAATCTTTCATAGGACAATCAGTGATGTGTGTCTTCGGGCGCTCTCCTGGGAGGCCTCGTGGAGGCCTCTTCTGGCGTCTTGGAGGCCCCTTGGGCCATCTTGAGGCCATCGTGGGCATCTTGGAGCGAGCTTGGGACGACTTTGGGGCCCTCTTTGGCCATTTTGGGGAAACTTTTGGAGCCATCTGGGCTCGTTTTAGAGCGCTCCTGGTCGGGATAGGCCGACGCGAGCGATTCCGGCCGTCCCGTGCTGGCTCGGGAAACGATCGGCCTGGGCCTCTCATGACTTACAGTTCTAGCTACCGCAGCTCTCTGGGCTGCATGAGACTTGGGGCACTCCACTTCGTGCCAGAGACACGGTGGCGGTTACAATGTTATGACATGTTGTGGCATCATCAGATGTGCCGTGTCATGGTATGACACGGTGCGTCGTGTTATGGTCGCTTGTTCTTTTTGTACGTTCTGGCCAGTCGAGATTGCGTCATGTTGCGGTGTGCGTCGCTATTTCCTGTTCTGTCCTAATGTCTCTGTAGTGATCGCTGTGTCCGTGTTTGCGGTGTGTTCTTCAGGTCAATGGTTCGCGTTTCTTTGTTCACGCGGCGTGGCGCCTGGACGGCGTGACGCCGTGACGCCGTGACGCCTCGGTGCTCTCTGGTATCATTATGTGGGGTGTCGGGTGTCGTCCCTCGTCGGGGACGCGGGGCGGGACACGTCAGTGATCCCCGGGATCCCGTGGGTCACCACCCACCAAACCACCCCAACCCAACCCGAAGGCTCAGATTTACCCTCGATTTCTAGTGGGGGGGGGTCCGGGAACGTCGAAAAAACACGTATGGAACCTTTACCCCCCCCAACCCGAAATTCGGGCCTTCGGGTTGGGTTGGGGTGGTCTGGTAGGTAGTCAGTGGGATCTACTGGGGCACGGCCACGGCGGTACCATGTCGCCATTTGTGGAGGACGCGAGGCGGGATGTTCAGGAACTCCCGGGATCTTGTGGGGTCTGGCGACCGCAGGGCTCGTTTCGGCTCGTTCGATTCGATTCGATTCGATGTCGATGGTTTCCGATTCCCGTTCGATTCGATTTGGGATTCCGATGTTGGTTCCGATTTGTCAATGGAGGCCCACTAGCCTGTCGACTTCCGCCGATGTGACTTTTCCCGACTCGGCTGCCATTTCCCTCCGATCCCATTCATTTTCATCGCCGATTCGACTTGTCGATTCGATTCAGGGCTCTCCTGCGACCGCGGTATGCAGGGTGGGCAGACGGGATCTCTTCTCTTGAAACCTCAAAGCCCCAACCCAGTCGGGTGCGGAGCACCGACTCAGGATGAGCAGCTGGTCTTGGGGAATGGGTCGACCTTTTGGTCGCCACGTCGTGGAAAAATCCCGACGTCGGATGTCCAGAGGAGGAGACGGGTGGGGGAGGGGTCGTTGTGGACGTTTCGGTTGTGGTAGATTCTTAGCGCGAGCCAAGGCAAGTCAACGAAGAAGTTGAGGAGGGGAGCCTTTCTGTGTTCGTCGTGGGAGGGGGGGGCCGTGGGAGGAGCTGAGGAGGTGAACCTTCTTTGTGTCCGTCGTGGTTGGGGAAAGGCGGGGCGAGGAAGGCCAGCGGGAGGTGCAAGAGGAGGGGGGAGGTGTACAAGCCATCTTCCTTGGCAGTCATGCTGTACACGCCGGTCGTTGAAAGTAGGTATTTTTGGATTCCCGGATCCCAATCTACTTCAAGCGCCTTCCTACTTCAAGACTCGACACGCTTTTGCTGTGTTTTGTTATTCTCTGGGGGGGCCTGGACCCAATCAACTTAATCCGCCTTCCTACTTCATGTTTTTACCTACTTCTTCCGACCGACGTGTAGGCTAACACCCATGACGTGTCATTTGCCGCTTTCGATTGGATGTTTCGGACAGTCGAGAATTCCCGTGGACCCTGCTGCGATGAAGGGTCCAACCCAGACAGATCCCCCAAACCCCTTCCCTCCTCGTCTTCCCTCCTCTTCCGCTTTCCTCCTCGTGTCCTCCCCCCGCGTCCCCTCCCTTCTCGTCGTTGCCATCTCCCTACCCCCTCCTGATCATCGCCCTCAATTCCATCGTCATCCCTTCTCCTCATCGCCCTCCCCATCCTCGTCCTCCCCCTCCCTGCTCCTTGTCACCCTCCCGATCGCCATCGTGCATCCTGGTCGTCTTCCCCGGCTCCCGCTGCCTTGGAGCGGAGGCCGGCAGCCAGTGCTGCTACGTCTCCAAGACGCAAGGACGTAGGGATGGCACAGGGCACAACGACAACGATTTTGCCCTCGGCGACGACGACGACGACGGCCTTGACGCGTTGACGGCGACGGCGAGGACGACGGAGGTACGATGACGCTCGTGCTAAAGGGGATGGAAGGGGAAGGGGAAGAGGGGAGGGAGGGGAGATACCGACAAAGAGGCTGACGAGGGGGATACTCATTCGAGGAGGAGGGGGATGCGAAGAAAAAAGAGAAGGGATACGAGGGGGAGGCAGAGGAGTAGCATAATAACTCGATTCGACGACCAAATTCATTATCGATCTCAGGATCGATCTTATTATCCATATCACCCAAATGATCTCACTAGTGATGTCATTACCGGTCATATCATCGATCTCATTATCGATACGTGGTCTCGATCTAACTATGGACCTCATTCCATCGACCTCACGATCTATATCATTATCGATCTCACTATCGACCTCACTATCGATCTCACTAGTGATCGCACTATCGACCTCCCTATCGGTAGTGCGATCAATGGGGGGTGCGATCGATCGACAGTGCGAATATCCATATGCCTCGCGGCAAATACCACCGCCGCGCCATCAGAACCATCTTGGTGCCGGCTGGTCGAATGGTGATGACGATGACAACGATGACCCAATGCCGACGACGATGATGATGATGATGATGATGATGATGATGTTGATGATGATGATGATGATGATGATGATGATGATGATGATGATGATGATGATCAGGATGATCAGGATGATCAGGATGATGAGGATGAGCATCTTGACGATGACGTTGTATGAGCATGATGATGCTGATGACTTGTGATGCTGATGACAATGATCATTGGCAAGAGGAGACATAGGACAATTGCCTTCATATCCAGCACCTCTGGACCTCACTTCTGGGAGCTCATTCGGTCTGTCCCGGGGTTGTCCTGGACTCCCGTGGAGCAGTCTTGTGACTCAAGTGGGCTGTCTTGGGGCCCTCTTCGCCGTCTGCTCGGTCTCTTCGTGCAGTTGCGGGCCGTACTGAGGCCGTATTGGGCCGTCGACAGGCCCTCTGAGGTCGCCTATCTTGGAGGCCTCTTGGACAGTTTCGAAGCGACGGATGCTCGAAAAGGCGAGGATGCAGGCATGTGGAATCAGCATTTTGGTCGCTGTTCGTGCCCTACGGCGAAACTGCGGCCAGGCATGGTGCCTGCCAAATTTCAAACCATCCACCGATTAGGTTTTTCTCTGGTATGATTGTTTTATGTTCATTTTGTTTTGTCTTGACGTGTTTGTTTCCCGGCCAGTTCTTGCTTAGAGAACCACCGACCGCTTTGGGTGCCGCGCGGGGTGTCCACGGTCTGACCTCTGACCCCTGGGCACCGACGGCGAGATGCAGGAACTTGCACCCAAACAAGCTGATGGTCCTGGACCTTCCCTTTCTTTCGCCATGAGGGAGAGAATCCATGAGGGACAATGTCCTAGCAGATGGGGCTGGAGGATCGCGCCGCGCTGCCGATGCATCGGCAATGCGGCGCGATGCGGAGCCCGATTTCCTTCACGCCGACGGCGCCGAGGCATCGCCAACGCCGGCGAGGCATCGCCTTGGGCCGCGATGCGCCACCCCCCTGTACACGTCGGTCGTTGGACAGTGGGTATTCTTCGATGCCCAAGTCGGGAACTGGAACATATACATTACCAGTGGTGGGTGGTTTTTCAATCCCAGGACTTTTCTGAGGGTCGGGGACGACGTCGGGGTGGTGTGGTGTATACTTGTTTCCCCGTTTTCCTGTGGAAACAACAAAGAATGTGTACACCAGGATGCCGTATACACCAGAATCCGTTTTCTTGTGCGAATCTCAGGATCGGTGTAGAAAGTTCGTTTCCTTACCAAGTCCCTATCTACTTTTAGGTGCCTTCCTTCATGAAGAGTCGAGCGGCGTTCCCTCTTCCATCCTCTTCAGGGGGCGGGCGGAAACCCAATCTGCTTCCAGCGCCCTCCTGCTGCATGCTGCTACCCTATTTCAGTCGGTAACAAGTCATGAGAGCCTTGTGTACTCTTGCAATTTTGTCTTTAGCTTCGATACGCGTCGATTAGAATCTGGGAGTCGATGAAATAGCGCCGATTTAGCGTCGATTAGCGTCGATCTAGCGTCGATTAGCGTCGATTTAGCGTGGACTAGCGTCGATTCGCAAGAGCCGACGAGATGGTGTGGGAGGGCCCCATGAGTTGCCATGGACGTGTTCCCTCCTCCCTCCTCCGCAGGGGGCGGGCGGAAGCCCAACCTACTTCTTCCTGCTGCTCCTCCTCCTCCTCCTCCTCCTCCTCTTCCTCCTCCTCCTCCTCCTCCTCTTTGTCCTCCTCCTCCTCCTCCTCCTCCTCCTCCTCCTCCTCGTCCTCCTCCTCCTGCTGCATGCTGCTACCCGCGTCTTGCGACCGGCGGGCAATCCTGACCACCCCCTCCCTGGCGGGGCCGGGCCTGGGCCCAGACCTTGGTGTACACGTGTGTGCGCCATCTTGGCACGGGGGGTGCAGCACTGCCCTGGCCTGGGCCTGGGCTCTCGTGCTCCCGGGGAGGGGGGGGAGGAGGAGGAGGAGGAGGAGGAGGAGGAGGAGGAGGAGGAGGAGGAGGAGGAGGAGGAGGAGGAGGAGGAGGAGGAGGAGGAGGAGGAGGAGGAGGAGGAGGAGGAGGAGGAGGAGGAGGAGAGGGAGGAGGCGGAGGAGGAGGAAGAGGCGGAGGAGGAGGAGGAGGAGGAGGAGGAGGAGGAGGAGGAGGATCAGGGCATCAGAACTATCCCCAGGCTCTTCGCGCTGGGGCTCGCCGCCTCCGAATCCTCTTCGCTTCGGGTGCCTCCCCTGGCCCCGGGGCCTCTGTGCGAACGAGGACCGGCCCGGCCGGGGCCTCCAGAGGCTGATAGCTGACATCCCCTGGGAGGTTGGGCAAGAACGCTGGGATCTAACAAATCACGGCGCCAGAGGTTCTTGGCCAGTGGGGCCGAAGTCTCAGACCACTCGCGTCGTGAGAAAATCACGGCGGGAGAATTTTCGCTATCTTTGGCCGTTGGGGGCCCTCGCCGGGCCTGGGACCGTAAGAAAACGATTCGGGGCGAAAAACCGGTCTCGGGGAAGCCGTCTGGACCTTCCGGGGGTCGACGTTGTGACAAAAATCACGACGTCGGGGGTCTGGGGTGGAGGCGGGAAAACTATGGACGAGCACTGACAGCAGCCTATGCCCACTTTGAGGTGTCGCCACAGACGTTCGTTCTTGTGGGTCGAGTGTGGCATGCCCAACGGCGGCCGCTGCCGGCTTCGGGCCACTGTTGCCGCTGGGCATCGTTCATATGCTCTCCGGCCCTATTTCGGGCCTCTCCGTTGTCGGCACCAAGAAGCGTTTTTTTGTTGTAGACACGCATATGGAACGACGCGTACATGCGTGTATGTATGTATGTATGTATGTATGTATGTATGTATGTATGTATGTATGTATGTATGTATGTATGTATGTGGGTGTCTCTTTCTGCACGCATATGTTTGTGTGAAGGAGCGCGTTCTGTGGTCGCTTGGGAGAGGGGGGGGGGTGGAACCGGACCCCCCCCCCCCTGGATGCAGGGGGGGGTTCGAACTCCCCCTCCCCGCCCCCGCCCCCCTCCCGTGACGGGGGGCGGGGGTACGGCCGACCAGCAGCATTTCCCAGCCCCCCCCCCCCCTCGCCCCTTCCCCCCCCCGCTCCCTTTCTGACGTGCCCTTCCGTGTGGCTTGAACGGCCCTCCTGCATCCTCTCTTCCTTCTCCTCCTCATCCACCTCGTGCTCGCGCCTCCCCTCCCACCCACCCTCCAGGACCCCCATTGACCTGGCAAGCGCCACAGGCCCTGGTCTCGAGGGCGCTCGAGCGTCCCGAGACCCCCATGCCCGCCCCGCGGCGGAGATTTGGCAATCCAGGGGCCATAGAGTTCCAAACAGTTCCAAAGGGCTTTAAAGTTTTAACAGGTTTAAAAGTGCCAGGGGGGTCAAAACTTTTGTAGAGTTTCTGCAACTTCTGAAATTTTTGGGACTCCGGATTTCCGAAGTATCGGGGTATCGTGAAGATTTGGAGATCCAGGGCTCTGGGGTTCCAAGAAGCTGTAAGGTTCAACCAACAAAGTTTAACAAGGTTTTAGGGTGTTTACCATTTTTTATAATTTCCATGTTTTGATTTTGTGGGGGATGTAAATGTCCGGGATGTCGGGGGATCCTGAAGATTTGGAAATTCAGGGCCCTGGGGCGTTTTTAAAGTTTAAAGGGTTCAAAATTCTCAGGGTTCTCGAATCTGTTTTTTTTTACCAGAAGATGATATTTGAAACTTTTGTGACTCCAGATTTCCAGAAAATCGGGGTATCCTGCAGATTCGGGAATTCAAGGTTTTGGGGGGTTCAAGGGCTTTGGGGGTTTCAACAGCTTTTCAAATTCTATAAGCTTAACAGTATAGTGCGTCCGAAAGTTCGAAACCTTTTTTAACTTTAAACTTTCTAGAATTTTTGAAATCCAGATTTCGGAGGGTTTCGGTGGACCCTGCAGATTTGGGAATCCAGGGCCCTGGGGGGCTCAAAAGTTCTAGGGGTTTCAAACCTGTCAAAAGTTTAAAAAGTTTGGAAACGCCCTGTGGGTTCCAAGTGATTTTTTGTCAAAATAAGTGTAATAACTTTTGGGCCATCTGTGGGCCTTGTTCGGGCCATCTGTGGGCCTTGCTCGGGAAGCCCAGCCCGACCAAACTTGGTCGGTGTCGGCCGTTTCGCTCGGGACATCCTCACGAAAACGGCCGGGCTCCTTTGGGGCTGTCTTAGGGCTATCTTGGCTCTCTTGGGCCGTCTTGGAGGCCTTCTTAGATCCCCTCGGGGCACTCTTGGGCCCCTCTTGGGTTCTTCTTGGGCCATAGTTGGGGTCTTTTTTGGGGGAGCCCACCCCGACCAAACTTGGTCGGTGTCGGCGGTTTCGCTCGGGACATCCTCGCAAAATTGGCTGTACTCCCCTGGCGCTGTCTTTGGGCTTTCTTGGCTCTCTTGGGTCGTCTTGGAGGCCTTCTTAGACTCCCTCGGGGCCCTCTTGGGCCCCTCTTGGGGTTTTCTTGGGCAACGTGTGGGCCTTCCTGGGAGAGGGCACCCCGACCAAACTTGGTCGGTGTCGGCGGTGGCGCTCGGGACATCCTCACGAAATCGGCCGGACTCCTCTGGGGCTGTTTCAAGGCTCTCTTGGCTCTCTCCTGGCCGTCTTGGAAGCCTTCTTAGACCCCCTCGGGGCCCTCTTGGGCCCCTCTTGGGCTCTTTTTGGCCCATCGTTGGGCCCCTGTTGGGGGTGCAGATGATTGTGTGTAAGCATGCTGGTGCACATGCATATACGATGCTCTGCGTGTGCACGTATACCTGTTTACCTGTTCCTCCTGCTGTAGATGTTGCTCCTCCCTCCCCTGTGAATTCTTCACGCGGAGCTCTCATATGCGTGTATTGCGGACGAGGAGAAAGGGGAATGAGAAGGAGGAGGGGAGAGGACGGTTTTAAGCAGTCGAATAATTCATCGCGTGCCACGTGCTACTCTCTAGCGAGTTGCCTTCATGTGTTTTCGTTATATGAACACATATATATATATACTTATATATATATACACATACATACATACATACATACATGCATGTATGTGTGATTCGATGTTCGATGCATCTATATATATAGACACACACGTATACGAGTATGCGAATATGTGTGTATACACACACCTATATACACCATATGTCAGCTATCAATATGCATACGCATATTCATAGTAACATGTCTACATTCGTACGGGGTGAAGGAGAGAGGAGGAGGAGGAGGAGGAGGAGGAGGAGGAGGAGGAGGAGGAGGAGAGAGGAGGAGGAGGAGGAGGAGAAGGAAAACGACCATGGGGGATGCTCTGGAGCTGCTAAGAGCTCCTGTTGGGCCAGTTTTCGGTGCGTCCTGGGCCGTGCAAGGGGGTCTTTGGGGAGCCCAGGATGTTTTGGTTGCATTCCTGGGGGTGGGGGTCCTGGGCCGTCTGGGGGGCCTGGGGGCTTCGGGGGGGCCATCCGTGCGGAGGGCGGGGGTGCGGGGGTGGGCGGGGGTGGGCGGAAGGGGGGGGCGGCTGGGAAATGTTTTTCGTTGCCGCGGCAGTACTTCGACCCCCCCCCCCCCTCCCCCTTCTCACTCCTCCTCTCTCCCTCTCCTCGGGCTGGCGCCTGCGTCGGCGGCGGGTGGCGGCGGCGGCGGGGACGACGACTTCCTTGTCTGGGCCTGCGCCGGCGCCTGCGGCGGCGGGCGGCGGCGGCGGGGAGCGTCGACGACGACGGCGACGACGATGACGACGACGACGCTCCGCCACCGTGTCTTGGCTTCGGGTCAGAGGGTCCTAATGGATGCATCTTGGGGTCTCGTCGGAGGGCTCTTGGCGGCTTCTGAAGGGCATTTGTACAGCCTCCTGGGCGCCTCTTGGGCGTCTCTTGGGGCCTCTCTGAGGTGGTGGTGGCGGTGGTGGTGTTGGGTTGTGGTGGTGGTGGTGGCGGTTGTGGGGGTGGTGGTGGTGGTGGAAGGGGTGGTGGTGTGGTTGTTGGTGGTGGTGGTGGTTGTTGTGGCGGTTGTGGTGACAGGTTGTGGTGGTGGTGATGGTGGCGGTGGTGGTGGTGGTGCGGTGGTTTTTGGTGGTGGTGGTGGTGGTGGTGGTGGTTCTGGCGGTGGTGGGTTAAGTTGGTGGTGGCGGTGGCGGTGGTGTGATGGCTTGTCGTGCTGGTTGTGGTGGTGGTAGTGGTTGTGGTGGTGGTGGGTTGTGGTGGTGGTGGTGGTGGTGGTGGTGGTTTGTTGGTGGTGGTGGTGGTTGTGGTGCTGGTTGGTGATGGTCGTGTTGTTGGTGGTTTGTGGTGGTGTTGGTGGTGGTGGTGGGTTGTGGTCGTGGTGGCGGTGGTGGTGGTTGTGGTGGTGGTGTGGTGGTGGTTTGTTGTGGTGATGGTGGCGTGGTGGTGGGTGGTGGTGGTGGTGGTTGTGGTGGTGGTGGATTGTTGTGGTGGTGGTGGTGGTGGTGGTGGTGGTGGTGGTGGTGGTGGTGGTGGTTGGTGGTTGGTGGTGGTGGTTGTGGTGGTGGGTGTGGGGTGGTGTGGTGGTGGTGGTGGTTGGTGGTGGGTGGTGGTGGTGTGGTGGTGGTGGGTTGTGGTGGGGGGTGCTGGTGGTGTGGTGGTGGTGTGGTGGTGGTGATGTGGGTTTGTGGTGGTGTGGTGGTGGTGGTGGTGGTGGTCGTGCTGCTGGTAGTGGCGGGGGGTGGTAGTGGTGGTGGGTTTTGTGTGGTGGTGGGTGAGTTGTGGTGGTGGTGGTGGTTGTGTGGTGAGTTGGTTGTGCTTGTGGTGGTGGGCTGAGGTGTGGTGGTGGTAGTGGTGGTGGTGGTGGGAGTGGTGACAATCGTCGCTGCGCCCCCGCCGTCGGCGCTGTTGGCCCCGCCGCCAGCGCCGGCGCCCGCGCCGGCGCGGGGAGGGGGGGGGGGGTTGGACACCCCCCTTGGACTGCCTCTGGTCATCGTCGCTGCATCCCCGCCGTCGGCGCTGCTGGCGGCCGCCAGCGCCGGCGCCGGCGCTGGCGCCAGGGAGGGGGGGGGGAGGGGGGACCCCCCCCTGGGAGATCGGGGGGGGGTCGGGGGGGGGGTTAGGAGGGGAGTCCCCCTGGTTCTGATCGACAGCGCCGAGTGTTGGGGGGGGGCCACCCCCCGGTTCGAAACGCGCCGCCGAATGTTCCCAAGGCAAGCGCCCGTGAGACGCGCTCTCTCGTATGTAACTCGATCTATCTATTTTATATATATACACACATTTGTGCATCTACATATATCATACAAACTTCCATGCATCAGCCAACGCATACATACGCGTGCCTATTCGTGAGCACGCGCGTACTTCACACAGAAAGTAACAAGTACATGTTAAACCTCATGCTTATATATATCTATATATATATACACATGTACATGACAGGGAGCGCGGCCGCGCCAGTCCAGGATCCACCCACCGGGTCAGAGTCCAGAAGGTCGACGAGGGGCAGCAGCTGGCCGCCGCCCTCGGAGTGCCCCCGTCGCGGCAGCCCCCGCACTCGGGCCGGTTGGCCGCCGATGCTCGGGCTCGAAGGCGGACCCGAGGGACGGTGAGCCCGCGGCGGAACGCGGCTTGAGAGACATGTGCCCAGCATCCGGCTTCACGTCAGGATGGCTTATCTCGATGGCGACAAACATTTTTTGACGAACGAACAGCACACACCCATACCCATAAGGAGGTCGATGGGAGGAGGGCTGGCTATGGGTATGAGTGCGGGTTGTCGGACCCTGGGGAACGCTCCCGTTCGAGCGGGGACCCCCATCCGACAACACGCACCCATAGCCCTCTCCGATCCCCCTATGGGTGTGGGTGTGTGTTGTTGGTTCGTCATGTTTGTCCCTCGGAGCTGGGTCGGAGCCTGCGCAGGCGAAGTGACTTCAAGAAACACGCACGCGCCGTCCAAACGACACGTCGAGTCGACCCTCGGCTCGTGCGAGAGACAAAACCACACGGCCGAGCCAACCGGTCAGCTGGCGACAAACTTATCCGCATCCGCGGCCTCACGGGTCAGGCCCCTGGGCCGCGCCCCCGCGGATACTGGTCGTTTTTTCGCGGATGCCCCGCGCAGGACGCATCCGCGCGTCCGCGTATCCGCGGGATCGCGCCCCGGAATCCAGACCGCGAGGGCGCGGATACTTGGCCGCTCGTGATTCTCGGCGCTCGGTCACAGAATGGGGCGCAAGGGCCCGCTCATGTTCTGTTTGCGCTGCGGCGCCTATACGTTGTTCCCCACACGGCGCATATATATATGATATGAAATGATATGATATGTCATGATATGATATGATATGATATGATATGATATGTATATATATATATCATATATATCGTGTATATATATATATATGAAATGGGAGAACGCATTTCAGGCAACCCGAAGATCTAAACAGGAAGGGTGAGTAGTAGGACGGCGCTTTCGTTGCGTGGCAGACCGGCGCAGCTAACAGGCAGCTCGCACGGCAAGGATGGGCAACCTTCCCGAGGGCACCCTCTTGCACCCTTGCCCCTTCAAGCCCACCCTTGGCGACTCACGCCGGCCAGCCTCGCTCGCAAGGCTCTAGCCCGGACCCCCGACGTCGTGATTTGTTCACAGCGTCGACCCCCAGAGGTCTGGACCTCTTCCCCAGGACCAGTTCATCATCCCGAGTCGTTTCCTGAAGGTCCCGAGGCCTGGCGCGGGCCCCAGGAGGCCGAAAATAGTAAGGGGAACCCCCCCGTCGTGCTTTCTTTCCACAGCGCGAGGGGGGTCTGGGAACACATGGCCCTCCAAGGCCCTCGCGCCCCAGCCCCGGCGATCGGGCCCAACCGGGCCGGCATCGAGCGGGCGACGCGGGCAGGCCCGGGGGCACCCCCTGCGGGGGGGCCTCTCTCGCGGGCGGCGGTTCGGGTTTCCTGGAGGCCTGCCGAGGGCTGCCGCGGCAGGGCCTCGCAGGGTCGGAGGCGGGTGTGCAGTCGCGCCGCGGAAGATCGGCGGTGCGGGGCCGCTTTCCCAGACGTGCTCGTGTCGTGGGAAAAGCAGGACGCGAGTTTTCTGGCCGTGTTCGGCCCCCGGGGGGCAGAGATCATGACGTCGGGGCTCCGGGATGCACCCGGATGAGCTTGGCCCGCCGTGTGCATCGCCAGCGGGCCCTGGAGGTCCTTCGCCGTCCTCGGGCCCGCGGAGAAGGAAAAGGTACCGATACTCGGCGGCGAGGAGGAAGGAGAAGGAAGAGGAGGAGGAGGAGGAGGAGGAGCAGGAGGAGGAGGAGGAGGAGGAGGAAGAGGAGGAGGAGGAGGAGGAGGAGGAGGAGGAGGAGGAGGAGGAGAGGAGGAGAGGAGGAGAAGGAAGAGGAGGACGAGGAGGAAGAGGAGGACGAGGGGGGGAGGGGGCGAGAAGGAGAAAGCCCTCGCAGGAGGCGGCGGGGCCTCTCGGGAGCCCCGCCGCGCTCTTCTGAGCGGTTTTCTCTCCGTCCGTCTCGGGGGAGGCTCGGGGAAACTTCGCTCAGCAGGCCGGGGAGGCGTCCGAGCCTTCTGAGGAGGCCCGCCCCCTCTCACTTCCCCCTACCTCGCTCGCCGCCAGGACGACGGAGCCAATTTCGTTGGGGAGGGGCGCAGTGCTCCTTCATTGTTTTATGGCTTGTCTCTTTTTGATCCTGAGATTCTTGTCTTGTGTATGGGGGGCAGCGAAGCTCAGCGCACGGAGAACAAAAGTGGCCCCGTTCCTTGCTCAGGGTTCCTCGTGGCGGCGCTTCGACGGTAGAGGCCCCGCCCTGCCGGAGCGATTCGCAAGTCTGGGTTCGACCCAACCGGTGTTTTAGCGATCTCGTGGACCGTTTTCGTTTTGACCTCGCTCTGCACCAGAGGCGGGACGAAGACCACACGAGGGAAACAACGAAAACGAAACGAGAACGGAAAACACCGTGGAGGTCGATCCCTGATTCTCTGGGGTGGGTACACCTCCCACCCTGACACGTCGATTCGTGAATTGTCAGTTTTCGGTTCTCGAGAGGGCGCCGCGGCCGCCATTTTCCAGACTTGCGCCCGCCAGGTTTGGGTCCGCGGTTGTTTTCACGAAGCCACGTTTTACTAAACGGGGTTCTGTCCCCCTACAGGGAGATTGTCGACGAAAAATGAAAAAAATACACCAACCATAGTTTTTCTTTAATAGTTCAAAAACAGTCTGGGGACTATGTTTTGAGTATGTTTTGACCTTTTTGGGGGTATTTTGGGGGTATTGTTTTTATTTTTCGTCGAAAATCCTTCTGTGTGGGGGACAGGCCCGACATGATACTAAAGGGGGTTCTGTCCATCTCCGAGAGTCGCAAGTCGACAACTTGCTGTTCGCTTCCACATGGAGAGGGTGCCGCGGCGGGTTTTTTCCCTGCGGGCCTGCGCCCGACGGGTCCCGTCCTGGGTCGTTTTTCGCTGGAGGGTGTCCTCGTGCGGCGTGCCGGCCACGCGCAGGGGGGGGGTCGGGGGTAGGGTTCAGTCGGGCATGTCCCTCTACAGGAGGTAGATTCAAAAGTACAGCGCCGGTTTTAATACAAGCTCCGCGTGCGGACTATGTATTAAAAATAAAGGTTTGATTAATAGATACAAGGATGAGTTTATGCATAACTTTATTCATCAATTAATCATGTATTAAAATCCTATATGTTGAAAATCATATGTATTAAAAACTGCCCTGTACTCAGAAAAAGCATATGGGGACGATGTTCCTATTATTGTTGACTGTTGTCGGGTATGTGTGTTCCATATATGTCACTGTTCTTCCAGAGCCCGCCTGTAGGAGGACATGCCCGACCTAAGGGCAGGAGGAGGAGGGAAGGCCTCTTAGACGCACCCCCGCTTCTTGGAAGGCGCGGACCTGGTCTGTAATTGTAGGGCTGGCGCCTTCTAAGAAGCAGTCTCCCCCTTAAGAAGCCTTCCCCCCTCTCCCGACCCCCTTGCGCGCGCCGCCAAACACATGGGGGCTCTGTCCACCCCCGATTCGGGCACTGCAGCATTGCCCGCATCGAGAAGGGATGGATTCGCCGGGTCGCTGGCCAAGGTGCCCGTGGGTGGAGTCCTTCCACGGGGGGTCGCTGACCAGCGGGATGATCGAGGATCGACGCCTCGCCATGAAGGAAAGGGGCGAGGGAAACGGGTCATGGACGCCAGGCTCCTGTTGGACGTGCTCCCCTACAGGAGGATTTTCGACGAAAAATAAAACAATACCCCAAACATGCCCTAAAAAGGTAAAACACATTATTAAGAAATAGTTCCCAGACTATGTTTGGATTATTTTTGGGCTATTGTTGGGGGTATTTTTGTATTTTTCGTCGAACATCCCCCTGTCGGGGGACAGGGCCGACTTAACGCAAGGCCTCCCGAGTTCGTATGCGCCGACATTGGCGCGCAAGCGCCCCGCCTAAGGTCGCGCGTGAGCGCCCTCGCTTCCAATGCAGCGGGCTGCGCTGGCGGCCTGCGTACGCCGCGGCGTAAGGGCCCTATGCCATCTCGATGAAGACCCGCCTCCTTTCGTCGCCCAAGTTCGGCCTCGCGCAAATGCTTGGCCAAAATGGGGTAGGCGGAGGGGGAAAAGCTTCTCAGAAACGCCCCTGCTTCTTGGAAGGCGCAGGCCGTCTCTACAGATGTGGGGCAGGTGCCGTCTGAGCAAAAGCCTCCATCTCAGAAGACTTCCCCCCCCTGCCCCCCTTGTGCGTGCCGCCAACAAGTGGGGCCCGAGCAGACGCGGCCAGAGGATCGGCGATGCGGAGCCCGCCATGTGTACCGCCAGCGGGTCCTGGAGATCCTTCGCCGTCCTCGGGCCCCTGGGGCCCTCCACGGCCCTCGAGACTGTACGGCTCGGGATGAGTGTCGTTGGTCCTGGGGGAAAGCCCTCTGAGAAGGAAAGGGTACCGACACTCGGAAAGGGAGGGGGAGCGAGAAGGAGAAGGCCCTCTCAGAAGGCGACAGGGCTTCTCAGAGGCTCTCGCGCCTTCTTCTGAGGGGCTTTCTCTGTCTCCGGGGAAGGCGTAGAAAAGTTGTCAGAAGGCTGGAGGACTTACGAGCCTTCTGAGAAGGCCCGCCGCTTCTCCCTTCCCCCCCTCGGGCTCGCCGCCGAGCTACCGCTGCCTTTCCCTCGGTTTCAACTCTCTGGGTCTCCTGGGAGTCCTTCGTCGCCACCGCTGGACTCGCCCCGAAATGCTGGTCAGAACGCATCTTTGGAGAGGTCCGAGGAGCAGCGGCATCGATACCTTTTGCCTTCCCTTAGCCCCAGGCTCCAGGGCAAGTCTCTCTTCAGGGCCCGGATGCCTCACGCACCTCGCCGCCAGCAAATCGGAGAAGCCAGCCGCTCGCCCACCGAGGTCACGATCTTCTTCGACGAGAAGCGGTGGAAGAAGGCTCCGATCCCTGCCGCGTCGCGCTCCTCCTCCTTCTTCTCCTCCTCCTCCTCCTCCTCCTCCTCCTCCTCCTCCTCCTCCTCCTGCTCCTCCTCCTGCTCCTCCTGCTGCTGCTGCTGCTGCTGCTGCTGCTGCTACTCCTTCTCCTCCTTCTCATCCCCCTCCCCCTTCCCCTCCCCCTCCTCCTCCTCCTCCTCCTCCTCCTCCTCCTCCTCCTCCTCCTCCTCCTCCTGCTCCCCCCTCACTTCTGACCCCCCCAGCGCTTCGCCCTCGCCCTCTCCTGCATGCTGCACCCTCGGAATCCACGTCCTTAACCCCAGAAGGTCTTTGATGACCCCCTCCCGTTTCTCTCGGCGGGGGATAGACGCCGCCCCTCCTCCTCCTCCTCCTGCTCCTCCTGCTCCTCCTGCTCCTGCTCCTCCTCCTCCTCCTCCCTCCTCCTCCTCTCCTCCTCCTCCTCCCCTCCTCCCTCCCTCCTCCTCCCTCCTCCTCCTCCTCCTCTTCCTCTTCCTCCTCCTCCTCCTCCTCCTCCTCCTCCTCCTCCTTTCCCTCCCCCTCCTCCTCCCCGAGCATGAAGTCCTGGCTGGTGAAAATGGTTCCCTATGTGGCCAAGGGGGTCCATGACGTGTTGAAGCGTGAATCTAAAAACTCTGTTGAGTATGCTGTCCCCCCAGAGCAGGTGTCTCAGCTCCCCGAGGACATGATGATGCATCGCGCTCAAGAGAGGGGGTGGGGGTACTGGAGCACTTCTGATGAGGAGCTCTTGCGGCTGGGTGACGCAGGTCCAGGAGCTTGAACCTATTGAGGTGAGAAGTTTGCATGTCTGTCGTTATTTTCCTGCCGGCACGGCCGTCGGGGTTGACGGTTGGCGCCTCCGTGCTTTGCGCGGCCTCCCGCCTGAAGTTCAGGAAGCCCTTGTATCGTTATGCCAGCAATGTGAAACCCGGGTGATGTGATCAGCTCAAGTTTGATTAGAGTTGATCGCCCTTTTCCTAAGAGTACGACCGATGAACGGCCAGTTTTGTAAATGCCCCACTCTGTGTCGGATTTCCACCAAGCTCAGGGGGAATGCTATCGACACTTGGACGGCTGAGCATGCGGCCTTTTGGGACGCCGCCATTAATAGGATCCTCTGCTCTCGAAGCCAGTTTGATGCGGGAATTGTACCATGCGTTTTCCCTCCAGGAAGGTGTTGTCTCTGTGGCGTTGCACTGGGATTCGAAAACACATCGCCACTGCGTGCCCTAGGAAGTTGATTCGGCTCGCTATAAGTATGGCATGCCCTCCCTACCTGCTGCATCTTGGGGTGTTGATCCATACCTCTCCGCGGATGCTCGAGGTTGAAGATCACGTCTCGCCCATGATTAAATCGGGTACGGGGGTCCCTCCTGGGTGCTCCCAGTATATGGCGTGGGTTAACGTCTATGTTTGTGAGGCTCTGGAGGCCTCCCACTACACCCTTGATGGTGACGTCTGTTATCTGACTACTCGAGCTTTTATGTGAATACGAATTCTGAGAGTACGCATGGAAAAAAGGAACCTAAAGCTAGCTCTAGGTGTGCCTGCTGCTTTCCGCCCTGGCCATGAGGTCGAGAAGCTGGGATGCATGTTTAGTCGCAAGTATGCCTTACCTTGTTCATCTAAGGCGGTGGGTGAGCGCATCGCAAACGGCCTCCGCACAGCAGGCCTCCTCATCCAGCTCCTGACTGACGCTCGGGATCCCGGGCCTACCACCACGGCGAGACGTCGGCGGAAGGTTATTGCGGTGAGAAGGCGGAGGTTTGAAGCTCGGAGGAGAGTTGCCAAGGTGCACGAGCTGCCCTAGGTGTACCAGAGAGCTGCCAAGTTGTGTAAACCAGGTGTGTTAGCGGTGGGGTCATGGGGACACCAGGCCCCCAGGCTCTCTCCCCGTCAGGTTCATATTGTCAGGGGCCAGGCTGCGCAGTGCTCTGGACGGTGGACCCCTGGGGCCTGTGCCACCACGGCGCTTTCCCTGGCTTGCAGCACCAGAGAAGACGCAGTGGTCCGATTGCGTTTCGGACATTTGGTCACGGTTATGAGATGGGGTTGGCTTTAGACCTTCATGAGAAGATGGGCCCCCCTCAGGCCTGGAAGACCACCACTGCTCTTTTCCAGGACATCTCCGCCAACTGTCGGTGGCGGAGAGTGAAAGGTCCAGCCGCTGCCACCGTCGCTGCCCTGTTATATTTGCAATGGGACCCTGCCTCCCCATGTCTCTGGCTTGATGGGCTTGGAGTTGCCCTGTCGTTGGATGCCCTTGATTGCTTGTTTCCATATGTGAAAGTCCCGTCAGCGGACCTGTGCCGATTGGGCCTGGGGAAAGGCGTCGGGCCACTATTTGGGGGGAGGGGCCCAGGCGGGGGGTGACTTCACTACCCCTCAGAGACTGCTGAAAACCTTGTTCCAATAACCTTGGCTACGAGTTGCAGGCTATCCTGAGGAACACCTTAAATCGGTGGACGCTGGACTGAGGCTCGGCTGTATGAGGCCGGACACTGTGCATCGCAGCTCTGCGCGAGGTGTGGAGAGGAGCCTCAGACGCCTCTTCACAGGTTCTGGAAGTGTTGCGCGAATGACCAGCTGGATAGCCAGGCCGTGCAGGCCACTGCTTGTTATCTTACCACTGCGGTGATCGAAGAAAGCGATTGCCTCTCCTCCCTTTGGCTCTGTGGCTTGATGTCCTTGGAGCAGGCCGTGGATGGTCTCCCCGTCCCTCAAGCTCTCTCCAGTGGTCCTTTGGAGACCTCGGGGAAGACGGCGCGATCGAAGGGGGTGTCGGGGTGACTGGTGGGTCGGGAGGCAGGGAGAGTAAGGATCGGAGGCTCAGAAAGTGTGGTTTGTTGGGAGCTGTCATGAGTCACCCGGATACAAAGGAGATCGTAGGCGGCATGGTCGGTACCATCCCCGTGGGTTACCAGAGTTCGCCGCGCGCTGAGCTATACGCCCTTCTGGCCGTCCTCTTGAAGACAGAGGGCGACGTCGTGATCTGTTGCGAGTATGTTCCTGTCGTTCCGGATTTTCGGGAATCCGAGCAGCAGGTGATCAGCAGCAAGGGTACGATGCTTGATATTTGGGCTTCGGTTTGGGATCGATCTTTTAGGGTCCCGACCAGGCCAGGTTCACCTTCGCTGGACGAAAGCCCACCCGACCCTGGCCCAAGCAGGGAACATGAATGCCTCGAACGTTGAGCTCCTTCTGAATCGTGCTGCTGACTTGTGCGCCAATGATGGTGCAGAGAGAAGGACGCTCTCCCCCGAGGATGTTGCCACGGCAGCAGGTGCTGACAGCTTGCAAGACAAAATGGTGTTGCGATTGTTGGCCATCCAGAGGGAGATTTCTCGCATTTGTGAAAGAGACCAGTTCGAGAGAAGGAGTGGCCGCGGCTCGGAAGCCTGCTGGGGTCACCTCTGGAGAGGCTTGCAGGCGGCACCCCATCTCCTCTGGCCATCGGGTGGTGGAGAGGAGCATTCTCTTCAAACGCGCCTGACGTGCAGGCAATCCTTTCTGAAGAAGGGAGCCTTGATCCAGTCTTGGCCGCGCCCCTGTGCCCCCCCCCTTTCCTCCTCCGCCCAGGTGGAGGGGACGCGGGGCCGTCTGGGGGAGGCGGCGGGGGCTGAACCTCGCTTCGCCGTCGGCGGGGGGTGCAGGAGCTGCTGCGGCCCGCGGACCACCCGCTCTGTCGCTTATGCCTGAGAGGCATGCTCTTGATGTGCTTGACATCGCTCGGACGTGTGCATGTTTCCTTCGGCGAGGACCATCGAGGAGCATCCTTGATCATCTGGCGAAAAAACCACGCACGATACCGAAACAAGCACAGGGAATGGACGTCCGAGCGATGGCCAGTGAGCTGAAGGGTGTGCCAGTTTGCACGAGTTTTGGCGCGCACAGTGCGGCCAGGGAGTGTGCGCAGGCTCGGTGTGGAACGTGCGTGCAGGGCGCGGAGTGATGGAGCTCTTCCGTCGGCGAGAGGCCGTGAGGCTTTCTCTCGTCTCGCTCGGGGCTTGGCCCCGAAGTCGGGCATGTCATTCCCTGTACGCGATTGAGTGCGCTCATGCGCCCAAGTTTGCTCTTGGTTACCAATCTTTATAGAATATAGAATCCTGTCCTCCTCCTCCTCCTCCTCCTCCTTTTCGTCCTCCTCCTGTTCCTCCTCGTCTCGTTCCCACCGAGGAGGAGAAGGAGCATCCTGTTCTTTTTTGGGGGGCCCTGTCCGCCGAGAATGGCGCCGACAAGAGAACTACCGGCCTTTCAGCGGTTGGTCGGGAGATTCTCCATATAGAAGGAATGGCGCGTGGCTGTGGGCGAGAGGAGAATCAGCGGGAGGCGACGGTGCCGCGGGCGAGGATGAGGGGGGTGAGGATCAGGACGGCGCAACAGTTACGTTGATTCGCGGTGCTGAAGTCTCAGCAATCGCGTACTATCACGATCGTCAAGGAGCAACATTCATGGTGATTCGTGGCGTTGAGGTCTCGAGAATGGTGCCCTGGTGCGCTTCAGGATTTGCAAACGGTTGTCTCCCAACGGGGCGCTCCCTTCAGTAGACATGAATATTTGTATGGGGCCGACGAAGAGGGAGTTGAGAGGGGGATATTCCAACATCGTTGGTGAGTTTTGATTCACACAAGTTTTCCTCCTCATCGGGCCCACTCCCTCCTCCAGCCCACCCCTTCCTCCTTGGCCTCGCTTCCGTCCTTCTCTGGCCCATTTCAATATTTCGTCGCATTCCAGTATCCCTCTGCTCTGTCCCCACCTCCATCCTCCACCTCCCCCTCGTCTGGCCCTTCCTACCATTCCTCTTCAATGGGGTGAGCGCCGCGCCTCTGCCACTCCCCGCCCCCTCAAGGAAGCGAGTCCACCTAAGCAGTGGAGTGTTGGGCAAGTTTGGGCAATGCGAGATCTGCCTCAGAGCCTCGGGCGTGGCAGACCTGCTGCCCCCAGGAGCTTGCGTCCGTCTGCTCCGCATCGACCTAGCAGTACCGCTGCTTGGTCGTTGAGTTGAGTCACGGCGATGTTGTATGTGTGTACACTTGGGTGGGTGAGAAAAATAAAGGAATCTCGCAGAACCGTGCTTTCCGAAGCTCAACGAAAAACATGAAGCCTGGTCAGGATAGTGAATCGGACTCCATCCCAAGCGATCGGGGGCCACCGCAGATCTTGACTCGATATGCCTCCTTTACGGGGGTCTGTGGCTGTCGATGTAAGACAAGTTTGTTCCTTGTTCACCACCTCCTCCTCCTCCTCCTCCTCCTCCTCCTCCTCCTCCTCCTCCTCCTCCTCTTTTTCCTCCTGCCTCCGCCACCGACCCCAGCAGCCTTCGAAATGTGAAAAAAACACCAGGAACCTCAATCCGCCTCCTCCTCCTCCTCCACCTCCTCCTCCTCCTCCTTCTCTTCCTCGTCCTCTTCCTGATCATGGGCCCCTTTCTGCACTACAGGTGCCCTTCGCGGAGTGCACCAAGAGCGTGGACGCCACATTGCGGCCCGTGTGGAAGGATTGGGGTGTGGGGCCGCCAGTCCCAGCACAGGGGAGTTGGCGGAGATGGGGAAAGAGTCAGAGGAGGAGGAGGAGGAGGAGGAGTCAGAGGAGGAGGAGGAGGAGGAGTCAGAGGAGGAGGAGGAGTCAGAGGAGGAGGAGGAGTCAGAGGAGGAGGAGGAGGAGGAGTCAGAGGAGGAGGAGGAGTCAGAGGAGGAGGAGGAGGAGGAGGAGGAGGAGGAGAAGGAGGAGGAGGAGAGGGAGAAGACAACCCTCCTCCCCGCCGAATTCCGCCCGCCGTGCTTCTTCACGACGCGAGTAGCTCAGGGGGAACTCCCGCTTCGGGAGTGCCACGGGGCTCGGTGCAGCCGGGCGCGCGGTGGGTCGGCGCAGGCCGCAGGAGGGCGCAGGCCCACCATGCACGCAGTGGCGAAGCGTCCTGGCTCGCCAAGAGCCCTACCAAACAATGTTCTAAGAACCTTTTGTGCTTTCCACGAAATGTTCTTAGAACATTTCTGGTTGGGACTGTCTTGGTTTAACACATCGGGTTCAGATTCTAAGAACGCTGTTCTTGTTCTTCGAACTTTGTTGGGTTCTAAGAACACTTCGTGGTAGGACTACAGAGATGCTGGGACGGTCGGTCCCTGCTCAAACCATGTACCGGTTCCCGAGGGCAGCTCGAGCGCCGCCTCTGAGCAACCGGGCGGCGCCAAGATCGCCACAGGGCCGAGCAGCGCAACCAGGCGCGCGGTGCGCCGGCGCAGGCCGCAGAGCACAGACGATCTGTCTCACCCAGGCCCCAAGCTCCCCCGAAGAAGCGCCGCTCGGAGAGGAGAGGCACCACAGGGCT